CTCCGTCTCAAGTGGCTGGGTTTTTCTTTCAGCCGTGCCGCGACGACTACGATGAAGTTATCCCCGAATATCATCGTTGTCGTTGCGGCACTGTACGAAAGCAAGCCCGGCGAAGCGGGTATTCGAACCTGATATCCCATGTTCGAAGTGAACACCCTACGTACGAGGACCTCTTGCTTTCTGCTACAACCGCGGAAACGGAGTCCATTCTCAACTATATTTGGCGTTCATCGCTTAATCTCTTCAGCTGGATGGAATGGATTTCGAAGAACAACCTGCCGCTATCGTTCTGCGAAAACGAGGCCGCTTGACAGTGAGAGTTTTTGTTTTGATAGTTTATTGTAAATTCTAACGTAAAGTTTCTAATTCTTTTTGCAGATATTCAAATCTTGATCCCATATGTGTTGAGACCCTCGTCTCAGGGACGTAGCCATCTACAATTTAGAAATGTTTCTAATCTAACACATCATTTTGGCGGGAATACAATTTTGCTTTCATTCATCGAAGGTAGACGCGGATGGCTCGTACCAAGCAGACAGCGCGCAAGTCCACTGGAGGCTTGATCCCTCGCCATCAGTTAACAACTATAGCCGCTCTGCGAGCAGTTAGAGACTCGTCTGGCGATGACGACGTCGAGTTTCTTTACAGCAGCACCACTGCTCAAAAGAAAAGGCACAAAGTCTTTGGCTACGACAAGTGGCCATTTGGTGGCAAAGGCGAACCCCAAGACATACCAGTCCCAGCAGGAGAAAATTGTAAACGGATCAGCCAGCTTTTGGCCAGAGCTGATGAAAATGCAGGCGAATATTCCTTCGGTGGACAAGCCGACACTTTGCCGGCAGTTCCGGGGCTTTTTGTCAGGGAAGTAGGCGACATTTCCGTGCCTTTGTGTGCTGAACAAGCAGAGAAACTCATTGCCCAATGCGATAAATCTCCTTTTGGCAGAAAATTGGACACAATGATTGACGAAAATGTCCGCAAAAGTTGGCAACTGGCACCCGATCAAGTGGAAATCAAGAATCCACTATGGCAAACGGGAATGGAGAAACTGAGTGAGAGCATTGCTG